GTCTGTGGCTAGCCTCCCATGTGGCTAGATGTGACCACCACATGACTCAGTTTCCCCCAGTAGCAAATGAGCCGAGTGATGCTTGCAACTTCTATGACAACTCTTTAGAGGGAAATTGCTTGCCTTCCATTTTCTCTTTGGCTCCCTTCCAGCCCCAAATGGCATATTAGTTAACCAGCTCTATTCACACAGTTGAGGCCAGTAGAGTAGGAAATGGCAGAGCAGGAAGATGGAAGGGAGTCGAGCCCTTAGATAACCTGGTGGAGCACAGCCCCCTACACACTGGGGCACCTCTGAGCTGTTATGCAGAGAGCAATAAATATCTCTCCCTGGAGTGAGCTGCTCTAGTTCTGTTTCTCTGTTACAACAGCCTAATCTGTAACCCAACCAATACACAATGGTGGATACTAAGTGCCCAGGAACTACACTAAGTGCTGAACAGTTGTTATGTCACTTAATTCTCTAGCAACCATCCTAATAGGTACTGCTTGTCCTTCTTACAGGTGTGCAAACAGGCTTAGAGAGCGAGGTGACTTGCTCAAGATCACATGGCTATAAGTGACAGAAGGAACTTGAACTCTTTTTAAAATATATATATATTTTATTGATTGTTTACAGAGAGGAAGGGAGAGGGATAGAGAGTTAGAAACATCGATGAGAGAGAAACATCGATCAGCTGCCTCCTGCACACCCCCTACTGCGGATGTGCCTGCAACCAAGGTACATGCCCTTGATGGAATCGAACCTCAGTCCGCAGGCTGACGCTCTATCCACTGAGCCAAACTGGTCAGGGCTTGAACTCTTGCTCAGACAGTGTTGCTCAGTGGTTGAGTGTCAACCTATGAACCAGGAGGTCAAGGTTGAATTCCCGGTCAGGGTATGTGCCTGGATTGTGGGCTCAATTCCCAGTGTGGGGCATGTAGGAGGCAGCCGATCAATGATTCTCTCTCATCATTGATGTTTCTCTCTCTCTCTCTCTCTCTCTCTCTCTCTTTCTCTCTCTCTCTCTCCCTTCCTAAAATCAATAAAAATCTCTATATACAAAAAATAACTTGAACTTAATTCTAAAGTATTTAAAATGCACATTCTTAATTGCTGTGCCCTCATGTCTCTTAATATTACTATTCATTATTTTTCTACAGAGAATATTTAAAGAATTCTTCTCTGCTGCTTTTACAGTTTTAATCTGTTATATATCGTAGCTCTGGACTCCTTTGCTAGGTTTAGTGTAGATTGCTGATTTTATCCTGTTTTTTTTTTTTGAAGGGGGTGGAGAATGAGCATTGTTTTCTAGTTTTGGATAGATTCATCTTGCCTTGTTTATTGGTCTGTAAATCCCTCAGGAGGGGGTGCTAGTGATGCAAATGCTGAATAAATGACAGTTATATGTCTAAAGGGATAAGAGCTGTCTGGCCTTCTAGAATGACTCAATATTCTCTTACGCGATGTTCTTATGGGTGCATAAATTCTGTTGTTCATGAATCAATCCTGGTGAAAACCATCCTTTGCCAATTTAAAATACATTTGCATGGTAGCAGAGTACTTAAATAGAAGGAACATCTGAAAAGATGATTTCGAACAAGGAATGATGCCCATTTTATTTGTCACTATAAATATAAACAGGTGGGCTTTAACATTTTCACGATTGCACTTTAGTCAAATGTTAGATTCGTGATCATTCTGCTATATATGAATTGGTAATAAGTTTGATGCATAGTAAAATAAAATCCAAAATAACAC